ATCTATCTATCTATCTATCTATCTATCTATCTATCTATCTATCTATCTATCGAGATTGAGTAGAAAATCAGCTAAATCAAGAGAACTAGGTCAATTGTAAACTGGCAGGAAGGGCATTAATCAAACACCTTCCGTGTCATCAATCGGTTCACACGTAGTGAGGCATCGAATGGCCTCTACTTACTGACATACATAAACTAATCGACCGAATATTTCATTTTTAGGATTTAACAGTCCTCAATCACTCTCCTCTGTATACTGTTGTCTGACAAAGCTCTTAATTCTTCCGACCATCATCTTGTCATTGTTCACCTGGGAGGAAGCCTCCTATTAAACAGCAATCCGGTAAGGCAGAATAAGGACATACACACTCTGATAAAGCATGGGAGAGTCTGAGAGTCAAAGACTTTAAGACATTTTGAGAAACAGGGGAGAGGGCAACAGGAAATGCTGAATGACTCAAACCCTCACTTGTCTGAGAGACTGTGAACAAAAAAAGGACTCTAGTCTTCTCTGGTTAGCTCACTAGTGCTGGGGTTTCCGCTCATTGCAGGTTTGTGGCCACTGCAAGTATAATAAAAAGCACAAACCAGTGTTTATGACAAATGTCTTTTTCCATTTGATTATTTTTGTGAAATACGCTGATGTCATATCTTTTTGCGCAGGACAAGAATGCATCAACCTCTACAGACATGATGCTGACTGAGAAACTTTACATAGCTCATTTTGAACTGGGGTTGGGTGTTGAGTAGTTAATGGCTGTTTGATGTTGTTCGGTGAAAGGGCTGAGACGTGCACTGTTTAAAATCTAAATTTAAATCCTAGTTCAGCATTATATTGATTATCATGACATTTTGATAAACAGGGGAGAGGGCAACAGGGAAATGTGTTCTGCCTTTATTTGAGAGAATGTATGGCATGTATACCCTATGAACAGTCTTTAATCTGCATACTTTAAATCTGTGGAACATTACACATAACAGCTTGACCGTAATTACAATGACATAACTAATGGCCCCTGGTAATAACAGATATTGTGTAACTGTTGCTGTTTGAGTGTCAGTGACAGTGCGTGTGTGTGTGTGTGTGTGTGTGTTTGTGTTTGCATGCATGGATGTGCTTTTGGACCAAACAGATGAGCAGACAAATTCAGCCGTTGGTCAGAATATGTGTGTCTGTGGATTATTGCCAGAACCAGAGAACAAATTCATGGAACACCAGGAATCTCACACACCCACACATTGTCTTTAACACTGGATTAGAAAGTCAGAGTGGTTAACAGATCAAGTGCAATGAGTATGTCTGGCAGCAGAGGTTGACATGTTTGATCCACCAGCTGCACACCCTGAAATTTCACATAATGGTCTGACAAATGCACCTTATTGACAAGGCTGTTGTTTTTAGCTACCACCCTGAACGCCTATTTGCTGGGAGCAAGTCAGGACCTTCTTTTTACTCCACTTACACTTTCCACACGGTGACTAACCCACAGGGTACCCAGGCTTTCTCCTATAGACTTCAGATCTGCAGCCCGGTAATGTGAGCCACGCAGAAAGTCACATAAATAGCTTCCCCGAGCCAGACGAGGTGGCAGCACACGACACATTTATAACACATTACTACTGTGGTCGTCTGATTTAACATGCCGCTCACCTCCAGCTCAGACTGTCTCTGACGAGCTGAACAACCAGATAGCTGCCGGTCTGTTTGGATACAGCTCTACTGTTGCAGCAGATTAACAAAACACCTTTTATGTAACTCTGCTCTAGAGTCCCACTGAACAGATGATCTTCACTTTGGTCAGACTCACACTAACAGGGAGAAAAAAAAGACTCATTTCAACTGAAAGAGAGATGCAGGAGTAAGTGGCTAATGTGATAACGCAGTAATGTGGGTTGTGGGGGAGATGCACAGTGAAAGTTGAACAGCTCTCTCTGTGGTTAACACTAATGGTGGTCTATTTTTTGGATGAGCAAAATTGACTAAATACATAGGCAGTGTGGAGAGACAGAAAGAGATGTGCCTGCATAGACTCCAAGTGAAGGGGAAAGAACAAAACGCTTCTTGACATGACTTATGTAATTAGCACCCAGAGGTGCAAAAGAAGGCACTAAATGGGTAATGGTAGTGAATTAAGGGCTGCTATGCATAAATCTTCCCTGCTAATGTACAAGACCATTACTGCCAACAGATAGTGTGGTGACTCTCCTCAAGTATCTCTTTAGCTTCTCCCACTGAGTAAAAATGTTTTTTGCAAAATTTGTAAAAAAGTATAAACTATATTCAAGTGTTTAATAAGACACAATTGGAATATGTTAATAGAAAACAGCATGAATGAAGTATCCTTACCTTTGGGTAATCTGGTCTCTCAGGTAAATAAAATCATGAGGGATTGCAATCCCCTTTTTAGGATAATACTTATCATCTCCAATAGCAACATGTATGAACCACATACTGGAGATCAAAATGGGTTATAGTTGGCACTTACAAATGTTATGACAAAAAGATTTGAGGGTGAGTGTAGGGAAGCAAACTGATGAAAAACATTGTGTTACATGTTGAAATGGATGAAAAGACATTACACAAACGTTGAGCACAGCAGTCCATGCCTGCAAACTTTGCAACGGGTCAGTAGGAATCAGCAGGTTCCCAGTCCCCTTTGCAGCTCTTTAAAGGGAGTTGTGATTTAAAAGGGCTGTGATGGATTACAGCAGGCTTTGTAATTAAGTTGCTTTATCCCTGAGAAACATGCTTGACTGTGCTCTCTGATAGGACAGATACAGAGTGACACACAAGCCCACATGCACACAAACATTTGGCCTTTGTGCTCTTCCCTCCTTCTCGGCTTCTCTCTGTTGCCTTCTCCCATTCACACACCAAAACACACAGTTCCCTGTTGTTGATGAAGAACCAAAAGAATGCCAGCTGAATTAAATGGAAGCAGCAGCCTATCCATTCACTTAGCAGGTACGGGAAAGGTCCTGTCAAAAAGAGACGATACAATGTTGTAGCTCTTCGACCAGAATGCCAACGTGTCCAACCATGCCATCCCTCCCTGCTTTCTTTTGTGGCATGTCCACTGTCTTTTGTCACCATTCCATTTCCCTTTTTTTACTTTGTGCACAGCCATTGAAATAACTGACATAGGATGTAAGGTAATGCAGTTTACACTAAATAAGAATAACACACCCA